AAATAGCCTGACCCGAGCCCGAGCCAGCCCGGCCTATAGACTAAAATTTAAAATCCCTAACTCCCTAAGTCGAACCTCTCTTATCTTTCCCCTTAGTCGAACCTCTCTTCTCTTTAGTCTTCACATCTTCAGTCCTCACACTCTCAAGCAGCTACACAACGGCGAGGCAGCGAACATTCATCGACTCAACAACTCTGGCGATGAGTCCTCTCCTTCTCTCTCTCTTTCTTTCTCTCGTTTTTCTTCTCACTTCTCTTTCAAATCTCAAACACCAGCAAGGCGACGAATATAGGCACCGGCAGCGGCGGTGAGTTCTCTCTCTCTCTCTCTCTCTTTGACCCGAACTAACACACTTTTCATTATTAAAATCGCAGCTCATAGTCATCGCGAACTCAGATCCGACGAACACAGTCATCGGTGAACACTCATCGTCGGGCTTCGGGCTCGGGCCTAACAAATTTCTATTCATGAAGAGTAAAAGCTTAGCCTGAGCCCGACCCGGCCCATGAACAGGTCTAGTTACAGGGTAGGGTTTGGTTCTAAATTCTTGGAACCAACCCCCACCCAGGCTGGTCCTAGAGTCTAGGAGTTTACCCTACCCGAACCAATCTGATGAACTGCCCTTGGTCAACCTTAGTGGAACCTGCCTTGGAACCGAACTTTCCTTGAAATAAACCCACAAATACTTTTGGGGATGTAAAAATTTGAAACCAAGCACTCATGGTTACAAAGGCCATGGTCTGATTTGACCATTGAGTTACTTAAGTGATTTGATCATTTGTTTACATTTTAATATTTGAATGTGTACAATAAATAATATAAAATTTAATATTTACAAAATTTAAATTTAAATTTAAATTATAAGTTCTGAACCATATAATGATAATTTACGTATTAAGGGCCCATTTGGCAAGTCTTTTTGAGAAGATCTTCTTGTAGCTCTAACAGTCAAAAGACACATTGAGCTTTTGACATAAGATCTGGGCAGTYCGGAGACCGTTTGGCAGACACACGTTTTTCTGTGCATCATTTCAGGTCTTTCCGCACGAGAATAAAACACGAAAGACACGGGAAGCTTCATTTGGAGCTTCTCGAAATCAGCCAAAAATGGGCTTCGCGCGTCTTTTCGGTGTCCCATCTTTTGGCGGCTAGATCTTCCGCGTGCCAAATGGAAATAGACCAATTTTCGGTCTTCCTGGCTTGTGAACAGCCGAAAGACCGCATGGAAAGACGCGCTAAACGGGCCCTAAGTTATTCAACTTATTCAATAAAAATAATATAAGTTTTAAACTATATATTATATTTGGTGAAAATTAAGTTTTTAAAGAACAGGCTTTCTTTTTTTTTTTTTGAAAGGGGAAAGTAAAAGAATGAACGGATTCTAAGGATGGACCGTGAAACTGACCCCGGAACCACCAAGGCCAAAACCAACCCTAGAACCAAACTGAACCTAGAACCGACCCCATGCTCACCCCTAATAGGATCAACCATAGATATTTTATGGTATGTAAAGCAAAATGATTGGTCCCACAACCTTTAAAACATCTATAAATACAGCTAATCCACTCTCCAGCCATAAATGATAAGTGAAAGGTGAGTGGTTGTGAGCAATGTGCACTTTATGGCTGGTGTGGGGTGTATATGATTGGTCTCACAACCGGTAACACAACTATCAAGTTCCACTAATTTGCTCTCCTGAAATAGACTCCTCCTGATCATATCACCACAGAATAACGTGATGTCCATGTCCGATGCTCTCTCTTTTCAGAATGTATTTATTTTTTTCTCCTCTTGAAAATAAAGAAAACCCATATGCATGAATAAAGGAAAAAGTTTGAAAGCTCTAAGGATAACTCATGAATGGTTTAAAATCACCCACTCATTCTGATTTTTTGTGCATACTGTCTGTACTCTATAGATTGAGGACCATTCCATAATAGTTGGTCTTGACCTTCGAAACATCCCTTGTGCTAAAGAAAAAAGAAAAGTTCTTCAAAACATCCAATAACAAGCTAAGTCAAAAAGGCCCAAATTAAATAACCCCCATCAACCTCCTTTAGGCCCCAAGTCCAATAGAATCTAGACCTCCAAATCCTAACATGTTAATATAAATCCTCTTGCCTGGTTCATGTCAGACTCCGGATCTCTTGTCTATTAGAACTCTGCCCACGTCTACCCACAACATATTACCCCCGTGAATTTAGAATATCTCCCCTTACATAAGAGGATGAGATATTCTTCATGTGTAACTGCAATATTATATGAATAGACATAGACAGAATTTGTGTGAACAAGAGATTCGGACTCATAGGAACAGCCCCGCCTGTTTTTTCAATACCCTAACAAAAAACAAGGTCTTATCCACGACATGGTGCTCCATGGGTCACCCCTCAATAAAGGTGGGTCATCGTCACCACTTAAAAAGGTCAATCATGGTTGAAAGTATCGATAGTGTTTCAATACTTAATACCTTCTTTTTAGTTTTCTTCTCCAAAATGCTTGGGTCGATTTTAGGTCTGCCTACCTTCTCAAAAGGTCTAAATTCCAAAACACCCTTATTTAGGGTTTCGAATAACCACCAAATATCATACGATACACTTGATGCGGAGTATATTATATCGAAAATTTGAACCTTGAGATCAATAATTCAATATATAATATATAGTTTTTGGACCCAAAAACTCAACATCTAAAGCTCCCACTTTATATCAGTGCCACCTGGTCACGTTCCAATGGCAAATCGGGTAGATTCAGTTGTATTGTATTCAATATGCCAATTTTAAGACTTTTTCAAGGAATAATGTTTTAAACATTAAATAATATAAGCCATTGTCAAAAATGTGAAAAAAATGGTTTTTGATTCATCCAAACACATCACACCTGATATGCAATTTTGTACGTATTGGGTGCATGATGATTTGAACCTTGACCACCCTACTATATCCTACCCACCCATTCTGTTCCCATCAGTAGCAATCCCAATCAAATAATAGTTTGGTGACTTTGGTCCACAACATGGAGACCTAGAATAGTCTTGTTCTCCGCATGGTCGCCCAAATAATGCCCCAACCCCTCAATGAAAGCGAAACCTCATTAGCTGAATGCAATGGCTGTGATATGGACTGTGAAACAATGCTAGTGATCATTTCAGCCTGGCCCAAAATCAAGTCTAGGCCGGCTTGATCCTAGAATTGTGTTTTTGGCCTAGAACCTGGGCCTAGGTTATAGCCCTTATCATAAGTATAAAGTCTGGCCTTATCTAGCCCATGTTTATCTAGTGGTGTTCATGATTTGGTTAATTGAGTCATGGTTGTTGACATTGAATTGGCCTTACCGGTTTTTGTAATTTTTTGAACCAAAACTAAATTAGTATCACTAGTTAATTGGTTGATCAGTTTCGGTTCTTTATTTTTTTTTTCATTTTTTATATTTATAACATATATTATAAATAATAAATGATATATAATATATTATATATTATGAATATATAACCACAAATATAATATATATATATATATATATATTATATATATAATACATAGATAACAAGTGACATATATTAAATATATATTCATTTATAATATTATATATACATACATACATATATGTATATATATGTACAGGTCAGTTTAGTTAATCATAAGTTTTTTCTAGGTTAACAAAAAATCGAAGCGATCCTTTGATTTTTTTAAAATATCAAACTGAAATCAAATGGATGAATTTGGTTAACCATTGTTTATTTTTTCTAGATTAACTAAAAACCAAACCAATTATTCATTTTCAAAAATACCAAATAAAAATCAAATGGATCAATTCAATTAACCACATTTTTTTGTATGCTTTTCTTGGTTCAATTTGGTTTTCGGGTTTTTTTTTTATGAATACCCCTATGCTCAGCCCTATTGATGCCCCATAATAACCGTAAAGTGAAATATGAGGTGCGTTTTATATTGTTATCAAATAAATTTTAGAATTCATCACACCTCTAATCATATATTGTGTTGGGAAGCATTGGGATTTAAAATATAAATATTTTTATTACATTATGTTAAATCAATATTTATCAAGGGTTACAAGGTATGACTTTATTCTTGTAACAGACCGTGTACTTGGTCTTCGTGTCCAAAAGCGATCATTCGTTGTAACTTCTGATATTTTGTAACCGAAATAAATGAATTGTTTTTGTTTGAACTTAAAAAAAAAAAAAACTAAAAAAGAATGTACATTTGCGGAGACTCGGAGACACATTTTTATATATAATGAAATGGATATCTACCCACCACAAGGTCCACAATACCAAACAACACCTGACTACCTGAATTGGAGACCGCATCTGCTCTTCACACCTTACGCCTCACAGACGCCTCACATGCACATCCGCACTTATTAGTTATTATTGATGGGAGATATTCCCAATGCACGGTGAATGTACTTGTGAGGCGCAGGCGCCTATTGTAAGGAACAGATCCCGTCACCCTGAGTGATGGTTGTGGTACTATTGTCTATTGCCGTTTGGCACGGTCTCTACGCACAGCATTTCATGCCTCTAAGTACGGACCGGTGTCAGCCTATCGAATTTGCCTTTTTACGGATGAATCCGGATTTCTACTAAGATAACACGTTCCAACTCTCTATCAACACAATCTGATATTTTATTCATGGCGGGTCATGTGTGGTCTCTACACACAAAAGCCTATGACCTCCCATGCATTTCATGCCTCCAAGTCCAACTGAAGTACGGACCGGTGCCGGCCTATCGAATTTGCCTTTTTATGGATGAATCCGGATCTCTACCAAGATAACACGTTCCAACTCTCTAGTAGGAGATCGCCATGATTTATGGACGTCACTCGTCAGACTGAACGTGGGTCGTTGGCCTCATCGAATTGTGGTAATTTCGTTATTTTTCAGTACTCGAGGGGCTAAAACGTAAAAGAGAAGTTATTGCTCCGACATTACCATGGTTCCCCCGTAACATAATCCCGTTAACCTGTTGTTTGAATAACGAGAATCGAAGAGAAGACCGACACGAAACTTGTCTACTTCCCTCCGCCTCTGTCATCTATGTAATAAAAAATCCTAAGAATATTATTTTCACATTTGGATCAGTTCCTTTGCTGGCGGTCTCTCGGTTGACTATTCTGCTTGCATAGAAAAACTCGCATTGAAGTTTCTGATTCTCTGATTCTCTCTTTGCAAAGTAAGTGAGTGAAGGAAAGCAAATTCCAACTGGTTTCGTTGAGTCCCGTTTTACAGGTTTTTTGTTCATGGAATTCCCGGGGAGAATCTCGATATTTTAGTTTAACTTTTACTAAGTTTTTTTTTTTTTTTTTCACTTTTGAATCCCCAATCTAGTTATTCCATTATGATTGATTATGTTCTTTCTGGTGATGATTTTGGTGTTTGATGTGACCTCAGCTTGCTTCGTTCTGTAACCATGTCGAGAAAGATGCTTATCGATGGAGAGGTGGGCAGCTCCAATGAAGAAGAAGCGCAGTTCGATTTTGATCTGTTTGTTATCGGCGCTGGAAGTGGTGGTACGCGTGCCGCCAGATTTTCTGCTGGATACGGAGCTAAGGTAACTATTGGAAGAACTAGAAATGAATTACTTCTGAACTTGGCTTTTCTATTAAAGAATGTGGTACTCTTGTCTTATTTTAATATTATTTCTTTTTTGTGCTCTTTCTTTTTGCATGCATTTTATTTTCCTCATTTTCCCACATATTTTTTTTGTCTAAGCTCAAAAATACCTTTAAATGAATTCATATCTAATGCCTCTCTCTCTCTCTCTCTTCCTGGGGGCCACTGATGCATAAACTGACATTTTCTTTTTGTTTTTGGTTAATTTCTCTTACATATATCACCCAGTTTTCTTTTTCTTTTAAATTTTATATGGATTTTGGTTCTTCAAGCAACAGTTTTATCAACCTCATTGTTTTCCCCTTTTCATCATAATTCCGTTCTCGAAATTATTTTGCAAGGTTGCAATTTGTGAGCTTCCGTTTCATCCAATCAGCTCAGAAGTCGTCGGTGGAGTCGGTGGAACGTAAGTCGGTGATCTTTCCTCCATCTTTTTGATTCCCTATCTCAACATTTTCTTTGTAAATGATAAACATCTTTCTGGCCATTTTGCAGCTTCTGATAAAATGATCTTCTCTGTTTATACTTATATATCTGAAAAGAAGTGACACTAAGAATTTCATGTAATAGAAAACAACCCATACGTTATTTGTATCAGTTGTTACTTGCTACTTTTCTGAAAGCTCTATTTAATTCTGAACTGCTGACATTGGTGATGGTTACTATCTTATGGGTCTGAATGACTTATTGCTTTATCTTTTAGTGAATAAATCATAAAGTAGGAGATAAGCTTCTTAATGTCTAAATGGTGTGTTGGGGCATTTCCACCATTAAGTAGCATGCCCCATACTTATGCCCTACTAATAACTGCTGAAGTAGGTGCTGAAACTGGAATGCAGAAAAGATTCCAAACATAAAAAATGACTTAAATTTGGGGGTATTGTCCGTATGTGATAATATTTTTCAGGGTAAAATAATCACCCCAATGCCTGTGCTTCATCATTAAGCAACTAAGTAGGTCCTCGAGTTGCTGAAATGCTGAATGACACTTTTTAAAAATTTGAAATCTTTTCAGCAGTTATCAAATGCCACCTTAGTGAATATGCTTTATCGACTAAAAGGAAAAGCAACAAATCTTTCAGTTCAGCTAGTTCATCCATTGCCAAACAACCCCTTGGATTGCTTATTTTTGGAGAAAATGCATTTGCTTTTTATTCATTGCTTCAATTCCATTCCTTTTAACTTGCAAATTTTGATCTACTTCAGTTTTAAATGAACAACCCTATAGCTCAACATGATCAATCATGTAGTTTACATCAAATTCATAGAGATTTTTGTTGAAGATGATCTTTTAATGAACCACACATTATAGTGATTGTTGGTTGGTATCATAGTTTTGTTCTTATTGAGGATCTAAATTGGTGAATTTGTTTATAATTGTACACGATGTGATATGCTGATAGAACAATTGATATTTCGACACTAACATTGAATGTTTCCATGTTATCCTACAATTCTTTTTTTTATTTTTTATTTTTTTATTTTTTATCGTAGGTGTGTTATTCGTGGTTGTGTTCCTAAAAAAATTTTGGTATATGGAGCATCTTACGGAGGTGAATTTGAGGTGAGATCCTCCTCTGTTTCTAGTATATCCAAAATATGCATTACTTTGATGAAGATCGTAATGAATATATTTGCAACAAATTGTGATTATTCTTTAGTTGTTTTACTAGGCCATTTGACTTGTGCATTACATAGACCAATTTGCCTTGTCTGGCCTGTTACCCTTAATAATAAGCTATAGTTAAGTTACATCTACTTTTTCTGATTTCTCCCTGAGCCTTTGTAGTGACCCTTTTACTTGCATGTTGTTTAAAATCTCTTTTTTGAATCTGTTGCGGCTGAAAACTTGAGTTCTTCTACCCAAATTTCTTGTCAATTGACCTTTTAAATGAGGAAAGGTTATTAATAATTTAATACATTAAAATAAACAATATTAAGTATAAAAAACAATTATCTTGGGAAGAAATCAAACCACAAGTTAACAGCACCTTTTCCAACTTATTAATGCTTGCCATCCTACATTTCTGAAAGCTAATGAATTTGTTTGTGCTGGGCATTTCATTAGATGTCTTTGGGATAGAATGTGTGATGAAAGATATCATTGAAATTTCTATATCACCTTAAGAGATGCTATTTATTTTTTTATTACTTTTTATCTGTCATAGATGTCACAGAGAGAGAGAGAGAGGGATGGGGGAAGAACAGACAAAGGAAAAGACAAGTTGAAAGAATCTCAATATGTGTGGCAGGTGTCCAAACTAGCTTATTAGTTAGAGTATTTAAACATGGGAAAGGACATTAATACCCCTACATTCCAACTTGTTATAAAGCTCAAGTTGGGTTGTATATATATTCATATAATATATCACACTTACCCAACTTGTTACAAAGCTCAATATGACACAGGTTATTTATTTTCTTAATAAATATAGAGCAAGTTGCTCGTTCAAGCTTATAAATGGAAGACATTTTACCGAATGAGGTGCTTGTCAACTTCAATATGTTTCATTCTTTCGTTTTGAATCTAGTTATGAGCTATGTTAATTGCCACTTGCTTATAATAGAGAGACATTGAACCAGAAATAGGAAATCCCAACTCAAGAGGCAAGTTTTATATCCACAAGACTTTAGCAGCTCCATATGCCATAGCACCTCTGTTGTTGTTCATTTTACTATCACTTCTTTCATACTTCTCCAGGTTACTAAATCCTCTCCTATAAAAGTGCAGTAACCTGTAGTAGATTTCTAGTCATCAATTGATCCTACCCAATTAGCATTTGTGTATGCTTCCACTCTAAGATGGCCATGCTTAAAGAAAAGAGTCCCTCTTCTATGATGCTTTTTTAAGTACTTGATGGCATGTTTAATTGCTTCAAGATATGTAATGCCCTAGGATAGTGCATATGTTGACCAAATCTATGATCAAGTTCCATGGTGGTATCTATAGGTTTCAATCCTGTCTTCCCTATATGCTTAACAAGATGTAGGATGTACTTCTTTGCGGAATAAAGATGCCTTTATGGGACATGGCAACTTTAATTCCAAGAAAGTACCTAATCCAATTGATGATTATAATAGACCATGGGTCCAACCGATGGTTAGGGTTGGGGAAGCGAAACTAGCACAAGGGTAGAACCAAATAAGAGATCAGAAGAAGAAAAGAAGGGATTCAAAGGAAGTGGGGAATAGAAGTTTGAAGACTGAGGGTAAGGAGATTATGTATGGGCATTACAAGATTCATCTATAGGGACAATGGAGACAAATAAGGGTGTGGTGTGAGTGCATTGATGAGAAGAGAAGAGATGTCAAAAAGACTAGTTTGAGGAAAACAAAAGAAACAACTAGTTTAGAAGAGAAAACTCAAGAAGGTCAAACTAAATGTAAGATTGCATCAGAGGGGATCAAGGAACAAGATAAAGTGGAAGTGGTACATTTTTAATGGAACAAATAGGACACTGTTTTTTTTTTATCAGTAACAAATAAGACACTGTTTGAATAGGGAGTGTGTTGATTCACATGCTAAAATGAAAAGATTATATATTAATGATGTAAAAGGAGTGAGAAAGGACCGTTGTGGCCTTCTCTTACAAGAATAAAAGAAACTATACAAGCAATGATATGGTACATATGACATACAATACAAAATGCTCCAAAAGGAAAATAAAGTGAAATTAAGAATCAACCCATAGATTCTCTACAACCCCCCTCAAACTAATGCCAGGGAACAACTTTAGCCAATCCACAACTATTTTGGAATCACCTTCAATAATTAATCTTTCAAAACCCAATTCTTGGCTTTCTCAACTCCAAAAACAGCTGCCAAGATTTCTCTAATTGCCACATTGCCTTGCTCAATTGGACCTGAGAAGAAAGCACACTTATTTCCTTCCTCGTCCCTGATTACTCCTCCAAACTTGTGAGAGAGAAGGTTGTTAGTGGGGAGATCATTACACCCTATGTGAAATCTGAAGATCAGCTAGCCAACTTCTTCACCAAAGGCTTGAATTGTGCACAGATGAAGTATATCTGTAACAAGTTGGAGCTTTATGATATATATGCTCCAACTTGAGGGGGAGTGTTAAATTATAGTAATTTTGTCAGTAGGGTCAGTTTGGTCTTTTCCCTTGCTGTTTTCTTGTTATCTCTTTATTTATTTAATTGAGGGCAGCCTTGTAATTTCAGTTCTTTTATTAAAATAAATAAAAAGAAAGGCGAGAGTTGAGGTCAGTTAGTTCAATTTCTTTGCTTTTATCCATATCCTTCTTTTCTTCTACTTCTCTCTTCTTCTACTTGAACCAGAACAGGTTGAATTTCTCATCTGTTTTACCTTTATTTAAAGTTGCTTCAGACCAGATCACACTGCTGATTAGTAATTAGTCCTAAACTGACAAATCTACTCCTACAACACATCATAAACATTATAAATAAATTCTAAACATAAATTCATAAAATCGTTAGTCTCAAATTCCACAAATTACATACTCTTCTTTTTGAGAAACCTCAAATTTATTTTCAACAAACTTTTGTCATTGTTACCCTTCATGTTGTTTATTTTTACTATTCAATAGACTTTTAGTATTTGATACCTTTCTTTATGTCTTGAAAGTGAAAAGTCTTTGTGGAACTTATTGTCTATCTCATTTCATTGCCTAAGATGTTTTTATTTAAAGTATGCCTGAATTATGATTGGTTCACTTTCTTTGGTTCATATCAGTGCTTCTAATTTGAAGGTCATATATGGTCTTTTCGTTTTGTAGGATGCAAGAAATTATGGGTGGGAACTGAATAAAAATATTGACTTCAACTGGAAAAAACTGCTTCATAACAAGGTTAGTGGTAATTTTTTTTTTTGATGAATGATAATAAATTTATTAATTCAGAAACAGATTTAGAGTGAGTTCATACAACATCCCAGGGAGAGGTGTGAGCTGCAGCCCCTCCTTGAATTTTACAAGTAAACTAGGAAAGAAAAGCAAGAATCACAACTGAGCCCAATACAATTCTTTCCTATTTACCCTTTGCTTGGCTAACACATCTGACAAAGTATTTGCTGATCTCCCCACCCACTGTACAGTGACCAACATTATTCCTTGTCAACCAACTAAATTTCTTCATTTCATTCTTGTAATGCCACATAGCCTCTTCAGGATTTTTCAACCAACACACCACCACTTTGGAATGGTTAGTGGTAAATTATATGCTCCTTTTTATGCTACTACACTAACTTAAAATTGTTTTTAAGTTTGAACTCTTCAAGGAACACTCCTTTTCTATTCAACAATTTTCTTTTAGGTTACTAAAATGGGAAAAATAGGGAGATATCATTTTGTGTCAAGGAAACAGGTAATTGTTCCGAAAGCCAGAGAATGATTTTGATTTGTTGGGTTGATTAGTGCTTTATCTGTTGCATCATAATAAGTGACTTAGAAGGTATAGAATTAATTTTTTTTTTGTGATAAGTGAATAATGATTTTATTAATAAGAAAGGGAGTGTACATTCACCCAAAGAGGAAGCATGAGATGTTACCTCTCCTTAGAGGTGAGAGCATAAAACAAAACTTAACAGAATACAATCATAGAGTGGCAGAAAATAACTCAACCCTTGAGACCCCTTGTTTTGCCCAAGAATCTGCCATGGCATTTGCCGATCTGCTGACCCACTGATAGGTGACCGACTTATTCCTTGTGAGCCAATTAACTTTCTTAAGAAGATCCCTATAGCCCCATAGAACTGTATCTGGACTCGACAACCAACCCACTACCACCTTAAAATCTTCAACTATCAGATTTTCCACTCCTAGTTGGTTTGCAGCATGTATTCCTTGCACCGCAGCCAGTATCTCAGCCCTTGTTTAATCTCCAACTCCCACTGGTCCTGAGATAGGGATAGGATGTTTCTATCCTTATCTCTTAAGATCCCTCCTATGCCCGAAGGCCCTGGATTGCCTAGACTGCTGCTATCAAAGTTCAGCTTTACCACACCATCTGTAGGAGGTTTCCACTCTATTTGTAGTGGAGGCCACCTTTGCCCAACTTTTCCAAAGATCATCAAAAGAATAACCTTTGAACAGATCTGAAATTTTTAGCCAATGAATTGTTCTTGTCATAATGCACTCCTTTGCTTTGTCAATGCTTCTTTCCTTTTCTTGGAATATTCTAAAATTCCTTTCCTCCCAGATAGTCCACAAAATGGTTGCTGTGATGCACTTCCACATTAGTTTCCCTCTTAGTTGCCTGCCCAAAAGTAGACGGATCAAAAAGCAGGTTTGCTTCAGAGGGCAAGGTCCACCTGCACCCAAACACCGTAAAGACCCATTTCCAAATATTACCAGCAAAAGAACAAGATAACAGCAAGTGGTGGTGATCCTCACTATGCATTTTACACAAAGTACACCAGTTTGGGGATATACAAAGGAAAGGTCTCTTCTTTTGCAGGTTATCCATAGTATTGATCTTACTGTAAAAAGCTTCCCAACAGAAAACAACTACTTTAGGGGGAATGGGCCTTGACAAGATTTCTTTGACAGGGAAACTCCAAAGAGAGAGGGGCAGAACAGAGCAACTCAAGATAAGAAGCACAAGTAAAGGAGCCATTAGGAGTTAGGGTCCAAATTCTTCTATCGGGTTTAGAGAGGTCCAAACAAATAGAGTCCAAAAGAAGCAAGAGCTTAGAGACACAAGTAGATTCCCCATCCCTTAAACCTCTACGAAACCCAAAATTCCAGTTCAAAGACAAGGGGAGAACTGGGGGAGAAAGAAATCTTGAAACCTGCTCCTTTTTAAAGAGGGAGATAGTGTAAAGGGAGGGAAAGTGATCTTTTAAAGGTTGAGAGCCCACCCAAATATCTTCCCAAAAAAGAACAGAATTACCAGAGTAGACGTCATATCTTACATACTTGAGGAAATTAGGGAGGGTGCCTGAAATAGCCACCACCTCATGCCTTAACCTCTCTCTTTCCAAGGGAAACTTCCAAAGCCACTTGCCTAGAAGAGCTTTGTTCTTCCTAGCTATCTATCCTAGCCCTAGCCCCCCTTCTTTTTTGATTCGGCTCACTACTTCCTAGCTGACCAAATGATCTTTAAACTTTGGATTTGTTTAAAGACTTCTCAGCTGAAGACATTTACAGGAATTGGGAAGTGGTGGCTTCTACAACTTCCATGAAACCTATTGTGCAGGAATTGTGGTCCCCACCAACACAACAAAGAGTGAAATTGAACTTTGATGGGAGTTCAAGAGGTAACCTAGGCCCTTCGGGTATAGGAGGGGTATTCAGAGATGAAAATGGAAGAATTGTGGCTTTGTTTTCAGGACCAATAGGAGTGGGGGACTCATTGAGAGCGGAGGTGATGGCCTTGCTTCAAGGTGTAAGATATGCAAAACAATTGGGGTTACACCAAATCGAGATAGAGGGAGACTCTAAATTGTTGATTGAGTGGCTGCAATCTAGTAAGTTGGGAGCCTGGATTTATAGATAGCCCATAAGGGAAATCCTCAACATAACAAGGGAGATCGGTGCATGCTTCAAATGGACAAGGAGATCAGCTAATGGTTTTGGTTGACACGTTGGCTAAACAAGGGACTATGAGGGAGAGAATGTTCTGGGTAGTTTAGTAAGAAAGATTACTGGGGGCTCAACACCTACTTAGGCGTTGACAACTGTACTTAAATCTGGAAAGTTATTCTTAAGTTATATTAATGAAGTTACTGTTTCCAATAAAAAAATGATAATGTTGTCTGCAAAATGAATGTGGGTTATCAGCATTCTATCTTTACCTATTCTCCAACCTCTCAATAACCCAACCCTATCTGCATTTGACAAAAGTCTACTAAAAGCATCAACAACCAAAGTGAATAAGAAGGGGGATAGTGGATCACCTTGTCTTAGGCCATTGTAGGCTAGGAAAAAATCATTAACTATCCCATTGACTAGAACAGAAAAATGACAGGAGGAAAGGCATCCCTTCATCTATTTACACCATATATTCCCAAACCCGCACTTCCTAAGCACTTCTAACAAGAAGCTCTAGTCCACTAGATCATAGGCCTTTTCAAGATCCAATTTACAAATAAAGCCTTGATTACCTGATCTTCGCATCTCCTCCACACATTCATTTACTATTAAAATTTGATCAATTATTTGTCTCCCCTAAACAAAAGCACCTTGAGCTTGACTGATGATTGAGGGAGCATTTTGATCCTCAACGTCAAGACCTTGGCCAAAATCTTGTAAATGCTAGTCACCAAATTGATAGGTCTAAAGTCTTTTGGATGAATAACCTCTTTCTTCTTTGGAACCAGGGCTAGAAAAGTAGCGTTAACTCCTTGCCTTGTTATTGAGCTTTCCTCAAACTCTCTAAAGACTTCAAGCAAATCTTCTTTAATGACATTCCAACAAACTTGAAAGAAAGCCATAGTAAAGCCATCCGGCCCCAGGGCTTCTTTAGATTTATCCATAGAAAAGATAGCATGTCTAATTTCATCCTCCTCAAAGTGCCTTTCCAACCATCCTTTATTTTCCTCAGAAAGTGTTGGCAAAGTAACACCTTCCAACTCCACCCTGTTACCTAGAGGCCTCCTTAGAATAGATTTGAAGTTGGCAACGAAACAATTGGCTATCTCCTCTTGAGACTCATAAGTCATTCCATCCACTTCAAGCTTAGTCACCTTCCTTAATCCATTTGCATCTAGATTTTTGCCTCCAAGAGATTTCTTCCCTTATTAGTACCTCTTCTATATTCCTCTTCAACTTCCATCTCAATTCTCACTCCTACATGTTCATGGTTCTTTGAGACTCCTTCCCATCTAACTCCTCTATTTGGGTTAGCAAAGATGATTTTGATTCCTCTAATCTCCCAAAATGGTCTTTATTCCATTCTTTTAGTTTTGATCTCAAACTTCTCAGTTTTTTGTGGAATCTCACCCCACTTATATCTTCCCTCAACCATTCCTCAATCTTCATCAGGCTTCACACAGTCAGGGTGTGTCAGCTACATGTTTTCAAATCTGAAGGGTCGAGGACTATGCCTAAAAGGTTCTTGTCCTAACTCAATGGGACAATGGTCAGAAGTAACTCTGGGTAAAGCTCTAGTTACCAAATCCATACAATGACTTTCCCAACTTTCATTAAAAAGAAATCTATCTAGCTTTGAGCAGGTTGGGGTTTCTTGGTAATTAGACCATGTAAAGTGAGCTTGTAGCAGAGGAAGTTCCTTTAACTCGCAACTGTTGATGAACTCATTGAACTTCCTAATGTTAGTTGTTATGGTCTGAAGGGGGTTGTTTGATTCATTAGTGAAGCGGATTACATTAAAATCCCCCCCCCCCCCCCCAAAAAAAAAAAAAAAAAACCAAGGACCATCCCACAAATACTGAATCCCTGATAATTCTCCCCAGAATTCATTCCTTTCTCTATAGTTACATGGTCCATACACATTGGTTTAGTACCCAACTGAAACCATCCTCCACACTTTTAAACTTGAGGGATATTGAGAAACTCCCTATTAATTCTTCCACAACCTCTACAACATCCTCTCCTAAAGGTGACAATACCTAAAGCCCCCCAAGAAGGTGCTGAAACCCAACTAATTCCTTTAGATTTCCAAACACTTCTAGTCCATCTTTTGTCAAGTTCAACTAACTTGGTCTCTTGTAACATTACAATATCCGGCCTTTCCCTTCTAAGGAGATCCTTTTGTTGAGAATGTAAGGGCATTTATGTCCTTTCATCCTTTTTTTGTATTTGGGCGCCTATTCAAAGGCCCATTTGTAATTTTCTTAAAAAGGTTAAGAAAGCTCTTCTGGAGTGAATAGTAACATACCTGATTTCTT